ACCAATGATCATAGACCAGTGTGATCATAGACCAATGTGATCATAGACCAGTGATCATAGACCAGTGATCATAGACCAGTGTAATCATAGACCAGTGTGATCATAAACCAGTGATCATAGACCAGTGATCATAGACCAGTGTGATCATAGACCAGTGTGATCATAGACCAGGGATCATAGACCAGTGTGATCATAGACCAATGTGACCATGGACCAGTGTAATCATAGACCAGTGTAATCATAGACCAGTGATCATAGACCAGTGTGATCATAGACCAGTGTGATCATAGACCAATGTGATCATAGACCAATGTGATCATAGACCAGTGATTAGGGTTGTCACGGTAACCGATATAGCGGTAAACCCCGGTAAAAAAGTTGACAATAAAAATAACCGTCCAGTTTTTAAAAAACTAAATTATCTCGGTGGGTTTACCGTGGCCGCGGTTTCGGCGCGGTGACCCTTACCAGCCACCGTCGCTTCAGCTTAAGTTCCCGCGGCGCGCACACGCACTTTTTAGTTTGCAACGGCACCAAAACTTTGAAGCTGAAATAATGGCCGAAGGAGGAGACGGCAGCACCCAGGACATCCATCAGCCCTCAAAGAAGACTAAATCGGAAGTATGGGCATATTTTGGATTTCTGAAAAATGCTGAGGGACAGTTAATAGAAGACTGCTATCCCGTTTGCAGGACGTGCAGGAAACAAGTGTCTGCAAAAGGCAGCAACACTTCGAATCTAATGGCACATCTGCGTGACCATCACCCACGTCTCTACAGCCAGTGCAAGGTAAGTTAACATTAGCATTTTAGCTTAAATGCATGACGTGAGGACTTCTGGTTGAGGGAGAATGCAACGAGTCACTATATACTGCAGCCGCAGCGTCCTCTGCCAGCATTTAAACCGTGTCACGGACACCCTGTTGCTGGATGAAGCATCTTATTTGTTTATGATGAAGAGAAATTAGTTCCTTTAGTTCCTTGTCATTGATTTGTTTACTTATTCAATGCCATTTATACTTGAACATTTGGATTTGATTACATAGTGTAGTAGTTATTTTAGTAATTTGTTTAAAGTGGCTATTTATTTTAAATACATATTTTTTAAGGTTGACTTGTACAGAGCTCAAGTCAAGTGTGGACTGGAGTTTTAGATTTTCATTTTGATAATGAAGAAAACAAGTATATGAGAAAACAAGTGGTGTTTCTTTAATTTGTTTACATATTGTTTATGTTTTGAATGTTTGGATTTGTATAATTTAAACCTGCACTGACTACTGTAACACGTTCCAGAAAAAGAAGCTATTTGTTCCTTTACTTGTGAAAAGTTGCACTTTTGCTAAGGCTTTGTGTTATTTTAGGTTTAATAAACACTGTTAAACCTTCTCAAAACTATTTCAGTTTGTGTAGAACAGGACTATCAATGCTTTCTGAACATATGCAACACCGTTTAAAAAATACCGCGATAATACCGAAAACCGTGATAATTTTGGTCACAATAACCGTGAGGTTAAATTTTCATACCGTGACAACCCTACCAGTGATCATAGACCAGTGATCATAGAACAGTGTGATCATAAACCAGTGATCATAGACCAGTGATCATAGACCAGTGTGATCATAGACCAGTGATCATAGACCAGTGTGATCATAGACCAATGTGACCATGGACCAGTGTGATCACAGACCAATGTGATCATAGACCAGTGTAATCATAGACCAGTGTGATCATAGACCAGTGATCATAGACCAGTGTAATCATAGACCAGTGTAATCATAGACCAGTGATCATAGACCAGTGATCATAGAACAGTGTGATCATAAACCAGTGATCATAGACCAGTGTAATCATAGACCAGTGTAATCATAGACCAGTGTAATCATAGACCAGTGATCATAGACCAGTGATCATAGACCAGTGTGATCATAGACCAGTGATCATAGACCAGTGTGATCATAGACCAATGTGACCATGGACCAGTGTGATCACAGACCAATGTGATCATAGACCAGTGTAATCATAGACCAGTGTGATCATAGACCAGTGATCATAGACCAGTGTAATCATAGACCAGTGTAATCATAGACCAGTGATCATAGACCAGTGATCATAGAACAGTGTGATCATAAACCAGTGATCATAGACCAGTGTAATCATAGACCAGTGTGATCATAAACCAGTGATCATAGACCAGTGATCATAGACCAGTGTGATCATAGACCAGTGATCATAGACCAGTGTGATCATAGACCAATGTGACCATGGACCAGTGTGATCACAGACCAATGTGATCATAGACCAGTGTAATCATAGACCAGTGATCATAGACCAGTGTAATCATAGACCAGTGTAATCATAGACCAGTGATCATAGACCAGTGATCATAGAACAGTGTGATCATAAACCAGTGATCATAGACCAGTGTAATCATAGACCAGTGTAATCATAGACCAGTGTAATCATAGACCAGTGATCATAGACCAGTGATCATAGACCAGTGTGATCATAGACCAGTGATCATAGACCAGTGTAATCATAGACCAGTGATCATAGACCAGTGATCATAGAACAGTGTGATCATAAACCAGTGATCATAGACCAGTGTAATCATAGACCAGTGTAATCATAGACCAGTGTAATCATAGACCAGTGATCATAGACCAGTGATCATAGACCAGTGTAATCATAGACCAGTGTGATCATAAACCAGTGATCATAGACCAGTGATCATAGACCAGTGTGATCATAGACCAGTGATCATAGACCAGTGTGATCATAGACCAATGTGACCATGGACCAGTGTGATCACAGACCAATGTGATCATAGACCAGTGTAATCATAGACCAGTGTGATCATAGACCAATGTGATCATGGACCAGTGTAATCATAGACCAGTGTGATCATAGACCAATGTGATCATGGACCAGTGTAATCATAGACCAGTGTGATCATAGACCAATGTGATCATGGACCAGTGTAATCATAGACCAGTGTAATCATAGACCAGTGATCATAGACCAGTGATCATAGAACAGTGTGATCATAAACCAGTGATCATAGACCAGTGATCATAGACCAGTGTGATCATAGACCAGTGATCATAGACCAGTGATCATAGACCAGTGATCATAGAACAGTGTGATCATAAACCAGTGATCATAGACCAGTGATCAGAGACCAGTGTGATCATAGACCAGTGATCATAGACCAGTGATCATAGAACAGTGTGATCATAAACCAGTGATCATAGACCAGTGATCATAGACCAGTGTGATCATAGACCAGTGATCATAGACCAGTGATCATAGACCAGTGATCATAGAACAGTGTGATCATAAACCAGTGATCATAGACCAGTGATCATAGACCAGTGTGATCATAGACCAGTGATCATAGACCAGTGATCATAGAACAGTGTGATCATAAACCAGTGATCATAGACCAGTGATCATAGAACAGTGTGATCATAAACCAGTGATCATAGACCAGTGATCATAGACCAGTGTGATCATAGATCAGTGATCCTAAACCAGTGTGATCATAAACCAGTGATCATAGACCAGTGATAATAGACCAGTGTGATCATAAACCAGTGATCATAGACTAGTGATCATAGACCAGTGTGATCATAAACCAGTGATCATAGACCAGTGTGATCATAAACCAGTGATCATAGACCAGTGTAGGGATGGGTACCTTTGACATTTGAAGCGATCCGGTACTAATTCCCAGTACCTAGGAATCGATACCGGTACTTAACGGTACCAATTTTAGATACTTTTGAGTGTTTAATATTTTAATTCTCTTTTATAATTAAATATATATTTTTCTCAATTTATAACCATATTTGATAAATATTACGATAAATAACATTCAACTGTTTGTATTTTAACATTGTCCTTGTAGTTTTATAACCTGATAATTAAACTGAAGCAAACATCTTCACTGTGAACTAAATTTACTGTCTATCTTCATTCCTTTTGCCGTCTTTTTTCATTTGATTTTTCCTACTGGGAAGCTGGAATTTCCAAGGAGAATGCAAATGCACCATTAGCTGATAACAATGGTGGCAATGGAAGCTAATTTATCAAGCTAATGTTATCTTAAACAGTTTATTTAGCTGCTGGAGCAAATTAAAACGATGATGCCTCACACTTAGATAGTTGTCGCTGGTTTCATCTTCACCCAATCACCCGTTGCATTTAGTAAAGTGAAGCCAAACTTTAGAGCGCGTTCATGTTCTTCTAGTCGGAAAATCGGAGTTCTGAGGAGACAGCGAACGCACCATTAGCGGAACGGAAGCTAACATATCAAGCTAACATTATCTTACATTTTATTTACCTACCTGAGCAGATTAAGATGAGGATGTCTCACTTAGATCGTTGTCGCTGGTTTCATCATCACCCAGTTACCCATCACATTTAGTGAAGTGGACCCAAGCTTTAGCGTGCGTTCTTTCTACCATGCTGCTCTGTTTACAACTCGCTCGCAGCGACCGACGACATAACGCTCTTGCGCAGCTGTCTAGGCAAGTTCTCGTTATGAAGGACAGGTACCGAAACGAGGCACCGTTTCAAATGACACGAATCAGTGCTCGGTCGGTACTATGGAATTCGGTTGGTACCTTAAAAAGTACCGAATTCGGTACCCATCGCTAGACCAGTGTGATCATAGACCAGTGATTACAGGCCAGTGTGATCATAAACCAGTGATCACAGACCAGTGTGATCATAAACCAGTGTGATCATAGACCATTGTGATCATAAACCAGTGATCACAGACCAGTGTGATCATAAACCAGTGATCACAGACCAGTGTGATCATAGACCAGTGATCATAGACCAGTGTGATCATAGACCAGTGTGATCATAAACCAGTGATCACAGACCAGTGTGATCATAAACCAGTGTGATCATAGACCAGTGTGATCATAAACCAGTGTGGCCTGTTCAGACCTGAGACAAAACCAGGTGAAGAGAGATCAGGTAACACAACCTACCAGCCACCTCCACGATGTCTCCTGGGACAATGTCTCTGGCCTTGATCCTCTGTACAGTTTTTCGGTCCTGCCGGTAAACTTTTCCCATCTCAGGCTCGTACTCCTTTAGCGCTTCGATGGCGTCCTCTGCGTTACGCTCCTAGTGAGGGGGGTGTGAGAGTTACTGCCAACCCTCTGAAAAGCTCTGATGAGAACTAATATCTCAGATTTTAATTAACACATTGTTACAACAATGAGGAGGTTAAATTAAACAACAGAAAAATACTTTGCGTTATCTCGTCCTCACCTGCCACACTCCAACGATGGCATTGGCTATTAGAATGAGTAAAATTACAAAAGGCTCCACGAACGCTGTGATTGTTTCTTCTCCCTCCTCAAACCAGGCCAGGACCTGAAAGCAAAGCAACAAACTCATCACAGATTCATATTTAGGAGGAAGAAATGTGATATTACCATCAGTCAGTGGATTAAACAGCATCTCACTTCAGTAACAAAAGCATTTCATTAAATTCAAGGATTGTCAGATAAATGAGATGATGAGGATATTTTTTAGGACTTCACATGTGTGGAAGCATGAATATAAATTAATGTAACCCTGGGAAGAACAGCTGAGGTAAAAGACGTGAAACGGACAATAATCAGAACCCGAGTCAAGTTAAATTAAAGCGAAATGACAGATCCATCGCTCATATTACAGGATGTTTAAACACATGAAACTCTGCCAGGAAAAAAATCTGACCTGACGGCTAAACTCATTAAGATGTGAAGAACAGTCTTAAGTCTTATTGGATCTTAATGATTTAATTGAGTGTTCTTGAGGAAAAAATGATCCTGTGCGTCACAAGCTATTAGTAAATCATTTATAATGTAATAAAACTCAGCATCTTATTGTGGAGGATAGTAAACGCATTCACTCACATAACGAGCATCATTTAGCAGCTATAGAAAACACACGTCCACCACAGGTTTTAAGGATCTTTGTCCCGCATAGAAAAACCAGCATAAAATAAAGAATTAGCTTCCTTTTTCTTTCTATTCCAACGATCTTGTATATTAATTTCTCAGTTGCTGACGCTGTAGAACATTAGAAAAGGAGGGTTTACACATCTACTCTGAGAAATAAAATTATGTATCTTGTGATCTACAAATGCAATTAAAACATTATGAGGGTTTAACTCAAAATGAATAAAAATTAGAGAAGATTTTAATGATTTTGTGTCCTCAAACTGGTCAAAATGAAGGGGGACCTCCCATGGAGAGGCGAGGGCCCAAATTTGGTCTGAAGTGGTTGTTCTCCTGTCAGACAGCAGACATGACACCTCTGTATCACCTGACTCAGCGCTACATACCAGCTCACACACACACACACACACACACACACACACACACACACACACACACACACACACACACACACACACACACACACACACACACACACACACACACAATTCAATTCAAGTTTATTTATATAGCGCCAAATCACGACAAGAGTCGTCTCAAGGCACTTCACATACTAAACATTCCAATTCAGGTCAGTTCATTAAGCCAATCAGAAATAATGTTTCCTAGATAAGGAACCCAGCAAATTGCATCAAGTCACTGACTAGTGTCAGTGACTTGATGCAATCCTCACACTAAGCAAGCATATAGTGACAGTGGAGAGGAAAACTCCCTTTTAACAGGAAGAAACCTCCAGAGAATCCTGGCTCAGTATAAGCAGCCATCCTCCACGACTCACTGGACGGACGGACGGACACACACACACACACACACACACACACACACACACACACACACACACACACACACAAACGCCCAGAAAGCCTCAGTTGTCACAATGTTCTGCGTTCGTCTGTTAATCTGGATTAAAGACATTTTAAACTATGTGAACACATTTGCAATAATGAGTGTCGTTTTATCAAAATTAAGGACTTTTTTGTAGCTAAAACTAATACAACTGTGTTAAACAGCAACAGTCCAGTGAAATGGGGTGTCTGTCTGCGAGTCAGTAACAGCTCTGTTGTCACCATTCCTCCCATGAGCGGGAGGCCCTCTCAGCCTCCTCCTGAGGGAGTGTGATCTCAGCTCGGTTAAACAAACTGAAGATGTTCACACTTCAGCACCATGCTCCAAGGCCTGTCAGCTGTTCATCGCTTCACATTTGCAGTTTCATCTGCAGCTCAGACTGTATGTGGATAATGGATGACATCTCTTCTTGACAAATTAGTGCATCATTCTTATAAAAAAATAGTTTTATTTCACCCCAGATGAGTTATTCTACACTTGTCATAATAAATGCAGCAGTAAAGGGATTTAATGACAGACTTACAAAGGATATGCAGGCAGCCAGAAGAAGGATCCGAACAAGCAAGTCTTCAAACTGTTCGAGGACCAGCTCCCATAAAGATTTCCCTGCAGACAGAGCAGATGGTGAGAGAACAGCTGATCCCAGAGATGCACCAGGATCAGGAGTGGTGGTTACCTTCCTCTGCTGGTAACTCTGCAGCAGACCAGTCCATCCAGGGGGACAAACCGGGGCAGACCAGTCCATCCAGGAGGACAAAATCAAAATAACACGTTAGTCCCGTGGAAGTAATTCATTACATTAGACTTTGATAAGTTTCTTCTGATGTGCCGAGAACAAGAGCAGCAGGTTTTTCCTAGAAAGATCATGTCTAGTCACAGCTGAGTGCTTTCTAGAAAAGCTCCACCTGTCAGTGTTATTACACCCTTATTACACCATGACTCATGTCATTTAATTACAGGAGATAGGAACTCATTAGGGTAAAGGTCAGAGGTGACGTAGGTCCAGCTCCAGCTGTCATTGTTAAGATTACAGAGCCGAGATGACCTCTGACCCTTGGAGTTACCTAGGTGACCACACTAAGGTGTGCTGGGGAACACGGAGTCCCGGTGCTTAATGATACATCTGTTCCGGTGTGAAAGCCGGGAACCTCCGATGACGGAGCAGGAATTACCGGTTACCGAGCACCTCACCCCCGAGGGGAACGTACCGTTCAGGCCCCATTTCTCCCGCTGCCGCTTCACCTCCTCCACAGACAGTCCCGTGCACTCGTTGACGCAGAAAAAGCCGTAAACTTCTTCCACACTCTTCGTGTGCGCGTTCTCCATGGCGGACGTTCCTGACGGCTGCACCGCCCCGATCACAGCGCGAGGGAGACCCGGCGACAACTACCGATGCCTGGGCAGAGACGACAAGTTCACCACCCACCGTGGAGCTGACCGTTCACCGCGGTGTCCCCCTGGTTCCGGTTCGGATCCTCACCCAACCTGAGCACAGGTGAGATGAACTCCTCTCCTGTCCGGGTGGAGGTCAGCAGGAGCGTCCGCTCGAGTCCGGTTATGAACGAGTCTGCGACAGAGTCCGGTGTCGGTGACTACATTCGTTCCTGTCCAGCCGGTGTGTCCGTTACCGCAGCCCGTCTCACCGCGGCGCAGCGCTGTGTGACTCCGGTCGGTGCTCCCGGTGGTTTTATGAAAGCGGCTCTCTGCTGCCCCTCTCACTGACCGCGGAGCTGCATGCGGACTCCTGCTATTGGATGGAGGCGGGAAGCTGCTTCCGAGGGAGGGGAGACGGAACCGGAGGGGCCTCCAGTGAGGAGAGAGTTAACCAACCAGAGGAAGTACACAACACGGTTTTCAAATGATAGCAATCGTTTATTAAGAGAACACAAAGCTTTCCAAACTATGACGTTTAACCTGGTTCCTTAACACAGACCAGATCTGTAGAGGTATGAGTCTGTCTGACAACATGGAGGCTAAAAAATCTCTAAAAGCAACACATCCTGCCCAATCCTGAAGAAATCAAGAATAAGAAAACACAGAACATCTAAAGCTCTGCCTGCTTGACTTGGTTCAGGTCAGGGTCAGAGGTCATGATTCAGAGGAGCTTCCAACCAAAAGCTTGGTTTACCAAAAATAAATAAAAAGTCATGTCTCACATTTGCCAAAAATCCCAGAGACATCTGGGTAAATATTCTTTTGACTGACAGAAGCAGAGCTTTCCGGACAGTGTGCATACTGCATGGTGACGGTAGTGTGATGGTCTGGGGCTGCTTCAGCCCCACCTGAAGGGACCACGAATGCTTTGTAGCAGAACATCCTGAGAGGACATCTGACCTTTGACCGCGAACAAGCTGTTCATACTGGAAGACCCTCCAATGTGGCTGAATTTAAAAGTGATGTAAGACTCATTCGCATCTACCACAGATACCTGATCCAGTTGTTTGTGCCAACCAGTTACAGGACCAGGGGCGCCGTAAAGCGGTGAACGATTAGAAAGATTTTAAGGGCCCACAGCTGTCAAGGGCCCAAAAAAGTTTCAAAGTTGAATAAAAAAAAGTTTAAAAATCACAAGTACTTTACTTTGCAGTATTTTTTCCTCATTTAAGACATTAAACAAACAATCTCATAGTCTTTATGAAATGTATATTTATTCAGAGGTCCCTACTTTATTTTGACTAATAAATTTGACCCCCCCCCCCCCCCCAACGGTGTAGCAGGCGAAGCCAGCTCACGCAGCAGTCAGACAGCAGAGTGCGCCTAGGCTGCAGTAAAAATATGTCTGCAAAAACAAAGTCTGGGTCACAGAAAGAAAGGAGAAAGAGGACAGGTAGAAGAGAGGGCGTCAGTATGTCGCACAGTTTTTCTCAAAGAAAGGTGGGTTTAGTTAGTGATTGGTTAAATTCAACCTGTTTGCTCGCTCTGATATCCACAGTGAGAGGAACTATGTTTCATCTGATTATGGTAAATGGGTTGTTGTCTTTGTCTCTACCAGAATCAGCAGCTGGTGATATGTCAGCAGGTGTCCCCTCACAACCCAATGAACCTCAAGAAGGTGAGCAATGTAGCATGTTAGCTAGCAGCCTCATTTAAGGGGTTCTGTGGAAATCACTTAAGGCTCTCTTCTCTATCAGTACTATTACAAAGGAATATAAAAGGCTATTTTTGGTGATAAATACATTGTTTTTCCACATACTAATAATTAAAAATATCAATCAATAAAATGTATAGGTTGTTTTGGACGCTGGGCAGGTTGAAGCATTGTTATTTAGTCTGTTAATGTAACATAAATTACTGTGAGATTATTACTGTGAAGCACCTTTTTGAAGGCACCATACAAGAAAAAAAAACCTCTTCATCTACTAAACACCTTGACATGAAATGTTTTGAATCTGACTGAATTATGGGAGGTTTTACAAGATGTAATTTGTTTATGTAGCTTTTAGAACACAAACCAAAAATCAGTCATTTCCAAATAATTCATCAGAGAGCAACAATGAAACAAAAGCTATTAATAATTGTAATAAATAAACTTAATATAACATTGAACACAATAAAATATGAAATCTAGTATTGATGATGGAGAACTACAGCTAATATCCTGCATGAGTCTGTGCTGCATTTTCCCTGTAGTGCATTAATTTTAAAGACTGTTGTAACTTGGATAAAGATTTTATCACAAATGACAGCCTTTATTGTAACACATATATCAATTTCATTATGTACAGAGCCTGGACCTTCCCAATGTCAGGTTTGATCAGGACAAAGTATATACGTATTCATGCAAAGTTGTCCAACTTTAACATTTTATGTAACCCTAACTGACTCCGGTTTGAACTGTGTGCTTATTCATTTTGTGTCTATGATGAAGCCATGGAGACTTAATAAAGAAGTCACCTTGTGAGCAGTGAATCCTTAATTTTTGTCAGTCATACAGAAATACTTGATTTCAAGAGGAAAGACAGCTGAAAATGTAGTTATGTAAATCTTTGACACAACATGGAAATTTAATTAGTTATCCAAATTTGAATTTTATCATCAAATAAAATTTTAGAATAAATAAACACATTTTAAGGGAGCAAAAGGAGATTAACACCTTTCAGCATGTGCATTTCCTGCTTTTTCCAGCAGTGCTATTGCTAATTCTGTTGAAGGAAATTCACTGTTTAATGAGAGACAGCTGGTGAAAATGATATGTAAATAAGTAAGAATGCATGTAGACCTACATAATTAAGCAAAACTGAAACACTAATATAAAGTATATATATTATATTTTTTCTCCCTTCGAATCTGGGAGGGTGGAACCCCAGTTCCAGCTATGGACGAGCCCCCAGGGGCCCCAACTTGATATTTTTTCATGGGGCCCAAAATCTCTGGCAGCCCCCCTGTACAAGACCATGCCTTTTTGGGCCAATTTGTTTTTATCCTTAAAGCTGCAATGGCAAAGTTGGAAAAAGAAGTGGCTTAAAACATTTTTTCATGCCTCTTAACAATGTTCTAGCATAGTATAGCTATAAACATATTGTGGAGATGAAAAAAAAACCTGAAAAAAATTAATAAAGGGGTTCTCTCTCATTTTTCTAAAATTACCTCCACCACCAATAACACGTTTCAGACCAAAAGCAGCATCGGACCATCAGGTTTTTTGTCACACTGAGCTGCAGCACTTCCCTGGGTTCCCTTTAGCAATAAAACACTGCTGGTGTGAGAGGTTCTCTGCTCAATAATATTAGAGGAGGAACAGCCGGCTGCTACCACTCCAACTTTAGGACAACCTACCAGAGTCCAATCACAGGGGGATAACACTCAAAAGCCTCCCTGGTAAGGTCTATTCAGAGGTTCTGGAGAGGAGGGTCCGTTGGATTGTCGAACCTCGGGTTCAGGAGGAACAATGTGGTTTTTGTCCTGGCTGTGGAACGCTGGACCAGCTCTATACCCTTAGGGGGGCCCTAGAGGGTGCGTGGAAGTTCACCCAACCAATCTACATGTGTTTTGCTGATTTGGAGAAGGCGTTCGACCGTGTCCCTTAAGAGACCCTTTTGTGTGTGTGTGTGTGTGTGTGGGGGGGGGTTCCTTGGGAGTATGGGGTACCAGGCCCTCTAATATGGGCTGTTAGGTCCCTGTATGACCGATGTCAGAACTAGGCCCTCTTTGCCGGCAGTAAGTCGGGCTCGTTCCCAGTGAGAGTTGGACTCCGCCAAGGCTGCCCTTTGTCACCGATTCTGTTCATAATCTTTATGGACAGAATTTCTAGGCGCAGCCAAGGTGTTGAGGGGATCTGTGTTGGTGGCCTGAGGACCAGGTCTCTGCTTTTTGCAGATGATGTGGCCCTGTTGGCTTCATCAGAACGTGATCTTCGGCTCTCACTGGAGCGGTTGGCGCCGAGAGTGAAGCAGCTGGGATGAGAATCTGCTCCTCTAAATCTGAGATCATGGTCTTGAATCGGAAAAGGGTAGAATGCCTTCTCCAGGTCAGGGATGCGGTCTGAAAGAATGAGATCACGGATGCAAGTGGCCAAAATGAGTTTTTTCCATAGGGTGTCCGGGCTCTCCCTTAAAAATAAGGTGAGAAGCTCATTCATCCGGGAGGGGCTTGGAGTAGACCCGCTGCTCCTCCATGTTGAGAGGAGCCAGTTGAGGTGGCTCAGGCATCTGATCAGGATGTCTCCTGGACGCCTCCTTGGTGAAGTTTTCCGGGCACATCCAACCAGGAGGAGAGCCAAGGGTAGACCCGGGCACGCTGGAGGGACTATGTCTCTCGGCTGGCCAGGGAGCGCCTTGGGATTCCCCCAGAGGAGCTCGCCCAAGTAGCTGGGTAGAGGGAAGTTTGGGCCTCTCTACTGAGGCTGCTGCCCCCTCGACCCGACTCCGGATAAGTGACCGAAAATGGATACCAGAGTCCCAAAAAGAAAAACACCATTTGAAGTCACGGACAACAAAAGATGCCCTAAAAATTGGTGACCGGTGTTCAGCACTATCTCAGGGTATCGGGGAAGATACCAGAGGAGAGGGATGAGCGTTCCAGGACCGTGTTTGTGTTAAACCTACTGTAGATTCACCATAATTGCTTTAATACCAGCTCAGTGGCCTAGTGGTAGAGTGTCCTTCTGAGATTGGGAGATCAGGGTTCAATTCCTGGTCGGGTCATACCAAAGACTTTGAAAAAAAAGGGACCCAATGCCTCCCTGCATGACACTCAGCATTAAGGGGTTGGATTGGGGGGTTAAACCACCAAATGGTTCCCGAGCACGGCTGTGTCTGCAGCTCACCGCTCCCCCAGGGGATGGGTCAAACGCGGAGAACAAATGTCACACACACATCAGTGTGCTGAAACATTTATGTGCGTAAAAAGCCAAAATATTTCTTATTAAACTTTATTTAGAAACTGTAGATTAGCTTGTGTTTGTCTGCTTTTAGGACATCAGTGAAAATCAGATCATTCAACCAAGAGCTGATGGTAAGGTTGGAGAACAGGAAGTTGGACGTTTTATGTTAAATTCACAACATTAAATTTTGCTCATAAAACAAATGTAAAGGCAGTTAATGCGAGGTGGAGGCAAGAGAGTCAAAGGTCAATCCCCTGGCATCCTCTGTGTTCTTTGGGGGTATTGATGTCAGATGTTTGACAGGACTGGCGTGCATCATCTGTTAACATGTCTTAATAAGGTCCCAAGAAGTGTGAAGAGGTGAAAGAATAACAACATGGTGCTGTCCAGCTGGACACTGTGCTGCCTTTCACAACGCACACTTGATCCATTCGGTACTCGACCCTCTAACACTCGCTGGCTGTCAACAGTAGATCGAGTTTCCGGGCCAGGCGGGGTGCGAGCCTCAAACATCCACAAAGACATTTGTTGAGTTGAGAACAACACGAGCTGTCCAGTAGATATGAATGTGGTCACACTCTAATAAATAATCTGAAATAAGATCTGTGCTTCCTCAAATTGTAATGATAAAGGCTTTAGGATGGGTGGTTCTGTCATGTTCCTGAGCCGAGGTGAGTGACAACATCTTCCATCTCACCATTATCAGGCTGATTTTCCACAGGTGAGGAGCGGAGGGGTTTGCAGCTGCAGAAGATTCCCGATCAGGAACTCGGGTATAAAAGGAGGATGGAGACACTTCACTACGCCGGATGATTGCACCAGTATAGGATCTCCACACACCCTGCCTCACCCTCGCTGTTTGAACTCTGGATTACATTCACCACGTCCCGTCCTCCTCCGTTGTTCCTGTTTGGATCCTCTCCGCTGCCTCACCGATCCCGGATCATACCTGGACTAAACAGAGCTCACCTCGGCTCTCTCGCCTCTTCCCCCCACCCTCTTGGTTCTCCCTGAACTCTAAATGAACTCGAGCAAGTGATCTACTCCACAGGACTTCCCTGTGCTCTTTTTGTTCTCCGTATAATTAAGACTTTTACTTTAACCAGTTCCACGAGTCAGTTTCTGCATGTCTTGGGTTAAACGCATACCTCGAGCCGTGACAGGTTCAATAAGTCCTGTGTTGTTGTAGTGAGAGTAATGGAAAACTATAATAGCCTTTGATCATAAGGCTGTGTATTTGTTTACATGATTGTATCTGATAAATATCAGGGTCTGTTTAAATGTTCAATGTTTAAAATAGGCTGAATGCTTCATGGGGTGAGCATATCTTTTAAACCTGGGACTAGTGACTGTATAATTAAGTTTAGATCAATACTGCAATAAAACAAGAGTCATTCATGAATATCAGTTTATGAATCGGACGCACAGACATAAACCATAAAAGTGTCAGTAATGTGAATTAGACAAAAACCTCTCTACAAGCAGAACTCACATAAATAATGATCAGTGTCGGAGAGCTCTGTGGAACGTAACTCCACTCAGCCGGAGGGTTTACTCTGCGCTAACACAAACAGTGAACTGCTGCCACATCCCTGGTGAAACGCTGGAGCTGATGTGTTTGGACACGGTGACTCAAAGTGTTTTCTTAGAGATGTGTAAAAAGACAAAGTGAAACCTCTTGTCCTCTAACATAGTTGACTCTGACAGAACAAGGGAAAACTCAAGAGTCTGTTTTTACTACTTGGTTAAAGGTTAGTGACGTGTTCCAGAACCCTCAGGACTATTAGGTTTGACGTGGTTGCGTGGACTTGTCCTCACAGCACCAGCCGGTCCTCCCCTCCTTCCTGAATGACCTGACCAATAGAAACCTGGCTCTATGCCTTTATAAAACACCGCCTCTTGCATTCCATCAGCTGCTGCAGGTCACGCCACATCTCCACCTGCTCCATGTTGGCGGCGTGGTTCTCCTTCACCATCTTCTGCTCCTCTCGTAACTTCTGAAGTCCATAAAGGGAAAAAGTTTGTGGTTGAACAAGTCTTCCAGGAGTTTGGAACATCACACTGCTCTGATTAAAGGAGAGGAACTTTCTGAGATGCAAGAGACATTAAATATTCACTAGAAATTATTTTCAGTTCGACAAACTAGAACTGCTTGTTTCTCAGCGTTAATCGAGGAGAATAAGAATAATCCTAAATTTCTTTTCAGTACAGTGGCCAAACTTACACAGAATCATAGCTCTGAGCCATCTATTCCCTTAGCCCTCAGCAGTAATGACTTTATGGGATTTTTCACAAGTAAAATTAATTCTATTAGAAACAAAATCTAGCTCCACTGTCGCACACTGCTGCTAACCACTTAAACTTTCTCCCTCTCCTGATAATAACTTTTTGCTTTCCTTGATGTTGGATGTGCTACTACTAGTTTATCCGTTTAATCATAGATCCACTAGGATAATTACAATAAAGTTAATCTCTCGCCAAATAGAATATTTACGAAGAAATCACAATGTAACCATAGACACATTGCTGTGTGTGTGTGTGTGTGTGTGTGTGCGTGATCTGTCTTCTCGATCCCCAGTGAGTCGTGGAGGATGGCTGCTTATACTGAGCCAGGATTCTCTGGAGGTTTCTTCCTGTTAAAAGGGAGTTTTCCTCTCCACTGTCGCTGCATGCTTGCTTAGTATGAGGATTGCAATTTGCTGGGTTCCTTATCTAGGAAACATTATTTCTGATTGGCTTAATGAACTGACCTGTATTGGAATGTTTATTATGTGAAGTGCCTTGAGACGACTCTTGTCGTGATTTGGCGCTATATAAATAAAATTAAATTAATGTTTTTAATCATATTTTTCTACCGTTTGTGGTTGAAAGTGACTTGGTGGGAACATTTTCAATTTCACTGTATTATTGGGTATAATGACAGCAAGTCCCCAGGGCAGCTGTGGCTACATCGTAGCTCATCACCATCAGTGTGTGAATGTGTGTGTGAATGGATGAACGATGCACTGTAGTGTAAAGCACTTTGGAGTTCTTACCCTGAGAGGTGCTATACAAGTGCGGGTCATTTATCATTTAAAGGACTATTCTATTCTATTCTATTCTATTCTATTCACCCATCACAGAAGGACAAAAGGCAAGTGATGGAGTTTTAGTTGAATCTGTGTTTTACTGTAATGTTGGTCAAATACTTGATTTATGAAACTCTTAGGAAGTAATCACTGGATGTACGTCTCCAACTGATTCACTTTTGGAGTCAATATTGGGCATAAAGTTTTTATGATGTTTTAAAATGTCCTTTCTTCTCTGATATTTAAGTTTAAATCTATAACTTTTGTTGATGAAACTAACTGTGTTTAGTAAAAGATCAAAAGGAATGACGGTAAGTTTTGAATGAACATAAAACTAACTGATGTTAGAAACGACTGACACAAAGTTAAATGCTGTTGTAATCAAAAGTCCAGAAACCAACTCTAAGGTCACCGTCATTAATAACTGCATCTGCACGACTCCAGGAAACGTTCTCATCAACTCATCAGACCACACGTTCTTCACAGAATAAAGGAGCATTCCCAGCAATCGACTCCCTGGTGCGTTGAGTCAGCACATGAAGGGCTTTTCTCACCTTGCCAAGTAACTCCTGCTCTGCAATATTTTTCATGTACACTTCCCTACAGAGAAGCAAAGAGAGGAAGCGGCGGTGAGCCGGTTTTAAACATCAGCATGGTTTTATTTAAAAGGCGGTGTGCTGCTGGGAGCAGATGGACTGACTGTGGGACAGTCAGGTGTCTCGACTCACCTGATGGCCTTCCTCTTCTCCAGGGGGTCGGAGGACACGTAGAGTTTGGTCTCCTCAGCTGCCCGCTGCATCTGCATCTCAATGATCTGCAGATGACAGGGATGCAAACGTTGACCTGAATGGTGCACTGTGTGTGTGTGTGTGTGTGTGTGTGTGTGTGTGTGTGTGTGTGTGTGTGTGTGTGTGTGTGTGTGTGTGTGTGCGTGTGCAAATGCAGAAACTCTAGGTGGAAAATCACAAATTCTAGTGTTGCCTAATTTGACTTGGCCACCAGAGCAGTGAAAGAGAGGGTTTGTGTGGATTTGGCTTGTTTATGATTCTACTGAAGGACTTGCCTCTAACATGGAGTTAATGTAATGGTATCGGTTTTCCTTCTGGGCCACCTCCTCCCTTAATGACTTCACCTCCTGAGAATAGGAGATAAGAACAAGTTTAATCACTGCTGCAAAAGAAACGGAACATTTTAAATCACAATACAACAGAGAAGAGTGTGCATTACAAGTCTACCTGTTCCAGTTTAGATCTATTGCTTTCCAAACCAGCGGCACAACTTTCATACTGGGCCTTCTTTGACTCGTGCTCTTGACTCAGCTCCTGTTGAGTAATCCCAGCCACCAGGCAACGGGAAAGAGAGGAAACCCCAGGAATAAAGATCACACAGTCAGGGAACCGAGGCAGAAAGAAAGAAAAGTCCTGCTCCTTCTCAGCAGAAATCAAACAGCTGATATTTGAACAGATGAACTTACAAAGTCTATTTATGTCTTCCTGTTGCAGCACTTTATTAGCAGACAGCACCCAGTAAGTTGGAAGAGCAATTCTGGGAACACGTGTAGGAAAATTTAATCCTCCCCTTCTGCTCAGCGATGGGGGGGGGGGGGGGGGGCGCTTTCCCATTGTGTATTTTTATGGACTATATCAATTACTCCTAATGGACCTTGCCCACAATCATGCACTACAAGTTGAGTCCCTGTTTGTTTGCAACAACAAGTCCAGACATTTCCTTTATAATTCATAAATGACTCCTGCTTTATGGTATTCCTGCTCAGAAATACTCTAATTTACTTGGAAAATCCTGGGATTGTCCTGTGGAACACGTGTGTGTGTGTGTGTATATAAATAAATGGTGTTTAACAATAAAGTCAGACACTTCCTGGTTTATGTGGCACAGCTGAGGACGACACTCACCCCCCACTGCTGTCTCAGTGTCCTCAGCTCTTTTAAAATTGGTGCAAGAGCTGATTTCTTCTCTACTATCACGGAGTTTAACCTCTTCACCTGCAGTACAAATCAGAACACACACACAGAATAAAAACAGAGAGAAAGATGGCTGAACACTAAATGGTGTGGATTCAATTTTTAGGAGATGTGACGTGTTATGTGAGCACAGATCAGGACTCCTGGTACTCTCTGGTGAATATATGGTTTAATCACCATTCCTGACATGTCATCCAGGGTGCGGCCCTTCTTGTTGTCGAGCTCACTCTTGATGGCAGACACCTTCTCCAGCTCTTCCTGAGTGTCGCTGTAGCCAGTGATGCCCTTCTCAGCTTCCACACTTTGCTTTCAAACAGCAGAAACAGATTATTTCGATCTTTCTTTTGCACTAAACACTCTAAAGTCTTTAAAATGCTGCTGATGAGATGGAGTAAAATCATGTTCATAACAGAAGGGTTAAAGATCTCCTGGTGAAAGGGAAACTATGTAATAATTGTGTGTAATAGCAGTCACTTGTTTTTAATAACACGTTCCTGATCAAAACATTAAACACTCCAAACAATAAACCTCTTATGGAAGGAGAGGAGACATCAGCTGACCACGTGATCAAAAAGAAAACTGCCTTGCTTCAACTGCCTTGGTTCCCTTGCTTCAACGAATCATAAAGTGGGCTGCAGACAGCGGCGCAGCAGCAAATGCAGCCATCAAACACGGCAGCTGAGCCTGCGTCAGACAGTCAGCTAATCTGACCACATGAAGGTGTGGAGCTTTTCCCACCAAGCTCCTCTCACTTTGCTGGTAAAGCTGAGAAAACGACGCAGTTGGAAAAGCAGTTTGAGAGAGAGAGAGAGGCGTTGCTCTGCCTCTGGATCTAAATGAATGAATCCAAAAACCACAGACCCGACCTTCCTTCCTCCTTTCGCTGAATGCCTTTTTTATTTTTTAAGTTGACCAGTTTTGTGTGAAGTCTCAGACGACAAGTGAGACGAGTTACCAGCTTCTCTTGGACAGCCTCGTGTCTCTTCTTGAGAACCTCCTCAGTCCGCTGCAGGACTCCGTACTCTGCTTTCAGCTCGGCCATCTCCTGGTGTTTTTTCGTGTACGAGGTTTTCTTGCTGCGTAACTTGGCTGCCAAATGTTTCAGCTACAAAATAATAATAAAGAAAAGAAACTTAAACAAACACAGCTGCATCAGCAGAAAACACCATTAACCAGCTCTGCAGGTTTATTATATTCATGGAAGCAGCTTTAGCCGTGAGAGCTGAACGGTTACAGCCTGTTTGGAAAATTCTGTGAACAGTACAGAGTCTAAATGTGACTGCTTGGTGTCCAGCACAGCTGAGCTTCTCTGAAAGGCCCTGGAAGAAGACAATGGACTGGGGGGGGGGGCATCAGAGGGGCCTGGGGGGTCATGGCACGATCACTCTATCCTTTTAAGTTTCACAGTCAGTAATGACGAGTGAGCAGCTTGATCAGTCCCACCGTGAGGTCTGCCGGGACACGCTGAAGCTCCTCCACAACGGGAGTGGCTATAAATGAGCACGGACACGGGAGGACGGCCCCAGAAAGCACAGAATGTGCTCCGTGTCCTGTGGGGATCCACCAAGTCTGCTGTGTGTGTGCACATTTATTCTTTGTGTATTTTGGGACATCAAGGGCAGACGTGGTGGGGAGAGGAATTAACAAGTGCAGTAACACTGCATTGTGTTCCTGACAGCGTGTCCCTGAAACAACTGCCGTGGGACGGGGCCGCCGCTCAGTTGTTGGTCGTAAAACAGAATCCACACGTTTACCGTCAGACGGACCTCGCTTCACCACAAAAATAATCCTCCGATTTCAGCGTCTTGACTAAAACCAGGTGCTGAGGCAGGGCGATGAAAGGGGTGTGATGTGGGGCCAGCCGCAGATGAACAGACGTAGTCACGCCCCCCCAGCAGCTGGTTGGTGGCGTGTGATGACACACAGCCGTCAGAATGGAAAATACCTCTGATAAAGCGATCACCTCCACCGTGGCTGATGGGCCAAGACTACACAGGAGTCGAACAGAACATTTTCCACCAACATCATTCATGTGAGGTCTCAAGGGCCTCTTTGTCTCTACAAACAACACCCACTCAGCAGCCTTAAAGGGTCTGAACCTCCTTTTTACAAACTCTGACACATGAACACACACCAGCAGATTACTGCAAGCTCTTAACACACAAAACTGTATTTTCAGCTTCTGTCACATTGATTTTCCTTCCTTCTGTTTTTCCTCAAGAGACTAAACGTGTTAGAAATATCTTTTCACTAATATTTGACGGTTTCTTTAGTTCGCCAGCTGGAATTGTTTGTTTGGGCAAAGGTCTGCTCCTCTTTAGTGTTGTGTGCTAACATCGCAGGCATCTCTTCTCTCGTGTGCTTCAGCGTGTTCCAGAAAGCACGGCTCTGAGCCCACAGATACACGAATGCGTCAAACGTATAACAGCTGTGATTCGCAGGGTTCGTGTGGTGACAGCACCACCCCCGTTCATCAGAGTTCCTTCACTAACACGGATTTTTTTTACGGTCAGCTCTTCTACTGTGAGCCAACAAACTGCTAAGCCTCGTCTCCGTCGTGTCCCAGAAGGACGAGCACATCCTCGTTTAAAGTTCCTGTCCTCCAGGTCTGCTTAAAATGTCCCGCTGAGTCCAATTAGAAGATTTATTGGAGTGAAGATGAAGGAAAAGGCAGGAAGTTTGTCCAGAGCAGTTCCTTGTTCTGGACTGTTTCTCTTTGTGATCTATTTCTGGCCTACATGAGAAGGTGGGTGGGTGGGTGGGTGGGTGGGGGGTAAAGTTGGACAGTGAGACGGTCTGCGTTTGGATAAGAACAGAAATAACCCGTGGGGTTTTCGGTGCTTTACTAATCTTCTAGGATGAAGTTAAAGTTTGTGGGAGACGCTTTTAGGGGTATGAACGTGACGACCGACAGAGCCGTTCACCTCGTCTTCGCGGATGATCTCCTCCCCAGAGGAGCCTTGAGCCTGGCCGCTTCTACGCTTCAGCTCCCTCTCTGCAGCGGCGAGCACCTCCCTGGCCTCCTGCAGCTCCTTTGCCTTTGACTCTTTCTTTCGAGTGATAATCAGCGCCTACAGAACAAGTGAACACAAACACCAGAGACAATTTTACAGAGCAACTAATGTTTCAGCCTTAAGAAACTTTAGTTTTGAAAAAGGTAAGAAAGACTGGAACAAATGTTAGAAGGATGTGATGTTTTTAACTGTGCAGCTGAAACGACAGAGGATGAATATATTTGAGTATTTCTAAACAGATCTGAGGTATCAGCAGTTTTAGGAGGATCAGGTATGATGAAACGATCACATGACAGCAGTCAGAACCTGCTGCTTGAAGGGAACCAGTTGATCTATGGGGTCGTTCTTCATCATCTTCTTCTCAATCAGCTGGTTTATCTGAGTGTTCACTTCTTTGATCTGTAGGAGTGGACATTAAAGCACAATCAGAACCAAGGGCACAGGAAGTGTAACCCATGAACCCAGATGCAGGTCTGGACCTTGTCTTCTAGCTCCTGGATATCAGCTTGGTCCATTGCAGGCTCTGAAGCCACTTTCTGGAGGTACTGCACCGTGCGCCTCATGCCCTCCAGCTCTTTGGGGAGTTTCTCAGACACCATGTAGGAGTTGATCTGGATCTCCTCTTCAAGTCTCTTCATTAGGCCTGAAAGACACAAACCTTCTCAACAACAGATTTTCTCTGATTACTCTGGAGACTAACTGAAGTATTCATTAATGTGCCAGGCTACTAAAAACATAATAGACTAAATCTCTAGTATCTTGTGAAACTTGAAGGAATGTTCGGTTTCTGGAACCGCACACGCAGCACTTGTACTAAATGACAGGCGTTAACGTGCAGGCCCGTTTCAATGGGAACAGACCAGTTCAACATCAGAAATGGTCTGTAAAATAATCAAAATGTCCTTCAGCCTAGGCCGTGGTTTTGAACCTCCCACTCAGCTGCGGTCTGCAGAAGACTCACTCTCTGGGTTGGTGTTAGCTGCTGCCTGTCGCATGTCCTTCAGCTGCTGCTGCGACCTCACCAGTCTCTGCTCCACCTGGAAAAGCTGAACACACAAAAACAATTACTAGAAAACTTAGCTCGTCATTATTTAGATCTTGCCTCCAGTTTGCTAGATTAATAGGTCCACATTTAAGTCTAGAAGATGAGAGAGTGTGTGTGTGTGTGTGTGTGTGTGTGTGTGTGTGTGCGTGTGTGTGTGTGTGTGTGTGTGTGTGTGTGTGTGTGTGTGTGTGCGTGTGTGTGCGTGTGTGTGTGTGTGTCAATCTGGAGCAGTTTGTTTCTGCATGAAGACACCATAAATTCTAATGTAAGGATTGTTTTTTCTTTGCAGACTAAGCCATCAAAAGCACATACTTGACGCTTTTGTTCTTGCTTTTGGTGCCTCAGTGACTCCTCTCGCTCCTTCTCCACTCGCAGCAGCCTGGCCTGCTCCAACATCCGCTGATGGTTGGACACGGACTCCACCTAGTGGATCAGCATGATGTCTGATGACAGGCTATCAATCACACGAGCAGCAGAAATAAGCAATCATCTCTGAGAGTCAGATTTCATCTCTTGACAGGGCCCATAAGAGTAAAACCCATTAAATCAACACCTTATTACTCTTCAGTCCTGTTAGGACATTCTTGCAGCCTGTTAGACCCGTATCAGTTTCTCTATTAGACCCAGCAGGAATCTAAGGCCATGTCTTCATGCCACAGTAAACCCTAAAGCCTCCTTGGCATTACGGTGCAGACGTTCTGCCTTACCCTCTTCTTTAACCTCTCCACACGTTTGAATAGTTGCTCTTTTTCTTCCTCCATGGCAACGATGTCCTGATGTTGCAAAAGCAAACAAAAAAAATTACAATGTTGTTGCAAATTTTACCAACTAGGAATAAAATTCTCACATTATTTCATCCCACAAATAAAACCCATAAGCTATCACTGAAAACGGATCCTTTGCAACATTAGTCGAGAGCCATGTTCCTAACGTTACTCATGTTACATTCTTAACTCCAGTCATTTTTAACAATCTGAGACCATTTTCTTTTTTACCCTTTTGATTTCTGCTGCAGAGAAGCCAGAAGTCCTCAAATGCTCACACTCCTTATGGTACGTCTTAAATCCTTCCACCAGCTCTTCATACTACCAACACACGAGGTCATGACATTCTGAAAACTAAAAAAATGCTATAGATTTTTCCATTTCATTACAAGAACACACCTGATGATAAGTGTCATTTACGACATCATCTTGCAAAAACTCAGCAGGCACCTCCAGCTTGACCAGAAAGCAGGCCAGGTAAGCCCTCTTCTTTAGCTCAGGAACCTTCTGCAGCAGCCAGTGGAGGATTGGGTGAACCACGGGTTTGCTGCCAGTCACCAGACCCTGGCGAAAGCTGCTCCTGCAGAAGATGGGAAGAGGGAATCCTCATTATTTACAATAAAAATGCTTTATACTTCAACAACAGGACGCACAAACAAGTGAAATTGTAAGTGCTGCTTCAAGGTAGAGGTCGACCGTTATTGGTTTTTCTTTTGCCGATATCGACGTGGGAGACATGATCAGCCGAAGGCCGATATGTACTGCAGATTTCTTTGGGCGAGTTTTTGTGGCCAATATTAAACGTTTCCCACATTTCTTTGCTTGCTACAACGTCACTAATAACATCAGTTGGTGCACAAAATTTCTGATGCTGAATCAGTTTTTGAACTCTACATTCATCCAACTGTTAAATCTTAATTTTGTGCACTGCTCAGTGTTAATGTCAGACATCTATATAAAGTTAATCAAACAAATCAATAAACTGACAAATTATTAAAGAGCAAGTCACCCCCTACAAGAAACTTTTGTCCACTCCCACTTCATGTTTTAAAATGCAACAAATGCTGTTGCCTAGCAGATCGAGAGAGCAGAGCCGCTAACAAATACACACAAACAGGCTCACAACAGCATTGTGACATCATGATGTACCAGCTAGCGTCATTGTAAAAAAAAAAAACTAAAAAAAAAAAAAGATATTTTGGTTGAAAATAGCATTTATTATTATTATTAGAGCATTTATTATGTAGATGTTATTCAGGAATATACATATTCATTTAAATTAAGTTGAAAAATAGCACCAGGCTGCCTGGGAATGTGCCTGACTTTAAATCGGCTAAACTAAGGAGGTATTTCGGCCGATGCAGATATAGGATTTGTGATTGTGTTGTCATCACTAACGCAGCCACCTTGGTCTTGCGGCTTCATTGAATCTATAATTTATTAGATCGGTTATATTATGCAACCATAGTAAATAAATCGTTGCTGTGTTGTGGGGTGCAGCACAAGATCGCCAGGGAAAATGGCGATCAACGAGCTAATTTTTCACCATTTTCCTGCTTGGAGGCATGACCACGGAGACCAAGTATCTAACATCCCAAAGTCTCATCAACTCGCTTGGATCACAGCTGTAAGGCGATCAAACATCACCTTCTGGAGTATTTTCATACTAGTAAGATGGTGTACATTTTTTTATACATAATTTCTTTCCTTCAACCATGACATGCACACACACATCAGCTACACACACATACAGGCAGGCTAATGTGGGCGTACTGACACACAACACAACTTCTCCTGCTACATTTCTTCTATGAGATGACAGTTTTGATTGTTTTACTAGAAAAAACAGCAAATGAAACGTTTACCTCTCATCCGGATGTTTACATTTGCTAACACCACAAACAAGACATCCGAAAATGTCTGTTTTGCAGAGCTGCAGCGGCAACAAGTTGTCATTGGTGCTCCAGTCTTGGATCTTTATATGGACTAACGCTGATTTCGTCCATGCACTAGTCCCTGACTTCTTTATTTAACACATTCCTGCATATTCCACATCCTTTTAGGGATTTTAACATGTTGTTTAACACTTTCTCCCAAATCTGCTTCTTCTCTGCAACGTACTGTTTATTTTCAGTTTGTTTACACTTGTAAGATCATCAACATGTCCGCGCATGTCCCGGTCCCTATATAAAAATGGTAAATATCAGCCCGATATATCGGCCTACTGATATATCGGTCTTCAAGGTGTTGGTCCTGCTTCATAAATAAGACGCTGCTTTGATAACGTTGCTGATTAACTTCAACAGACAATACATTGATGTTTTAATAAAAAATTATTACGGCAGATTCTTTCTCCAAGGGGAATCCAGCAGCCTTGTGTTTGCAAGTTAAGAGTTTAAAACACAAATATAGTTTAAGGCATGAAAATACATGTTTATGTTTATGTATTTAGCAGATGCTTTTGTCCAAAGCGACTTACAAGTGATAATCGACATGTTGCCCTTGAGGCTAACAACAACAATTTCACATCAATCATGGAGAGGAGGGAACAAAGGAGTGGACGGTAGAGGGGGGACGGGTGCAGGGAGGGTGCTAGTTTAGAAGATGCTCTCTGAAGAGCATTGTCTTCAGGAGTTTCTTGAAATTTGAAAAAGAAGCCGCAGTTCTGGTAGTGCTTGGTAGGTCATTCCACATTTGTGGAACGATGCATGAGAAGAGTCTGGATTGTCCTGAGCATGGTGTAGGCACTGCTAGCCGATGATCCTGTGATGACCGGAGCGGCCGGGCCGAGACGTAAGCCTTTGTAAGAGGATTCAGGTAGATGGGAGCCGTACCGTCTCGGACTTTGTATGCTAGTGTTAGCAATTTGAATTTGATGCGTGCTGCTAGCGGTAGCCAGTGGAGCTCAATGAACAGAGGGGTGACGTGTGCTCTCTTTGGCTGATTGAAGACCACATGCGCCGCTGCGTTCTGGACCATTTGAAGAGGTCTCACAGTACAGCCTGGAAGACCAGTTAGAAGGGCATTGCAGTAATTTAGGCGGGAGATGACAGTAGATTGCACCAGGAGCTGGGTGGCATGTTGTGTTAGGTATGGTCTGATCTTTCGTATGTTATACAGCACAAAGCGGCATGAACGGGCAACAGAGGCAACATGATCTTTAAAGGCCAGGTGTTCATCCATCACAACACCCAGATTTCGAACTGCCTTTGAAGGAGCCAGAGATAGGAAGTCATTCTGGATTGAGATATTGTGCTGTATGGATGGTTTTGCTGGGATGACAAGTAGTTCAGTTTTAGAGAGGTTGACTTGGAGATGGTGGGATTTCATCCATTTTGATATGTCAGAGAGACAGTTTGATATTCGTGCAGAGACAGTGTGGTTGTCCGGTGGAAATGACAGATAGAGCTGGGTGTCGTCTGCATAGCAGTGGTAGGAGAAGCCATGTGATCGAATGATCTCACCCCGTGAGGTGGTGTATATGGCAAAGAGAAGAGGTCCTAGTACAGAGCCCTGGGGGACTCCCGTGGCAAGATGGTGCATGGTAGAGGACTGTCAAAGCCAAGATACGCTGAATGATCGTCCTGTGATGTACGATTCAAACCAGGCGTGTGCTTTCTCTGTGATGCCCATGCTAGAGAGTGTGGACAAAAGGAAGCCATGGTTGACAGTGTCAAATGCTGCCGATGAGTCGAGCAGGATAAGCACTGAGGATTTGCCTGTCGCTCTAGCTTCTTTTAAGGATTCAGTCACTGCTAACAGAGCAGTTTCAGTGGAGTGGCCCCTTTTGAACCCAGATTGGTAAGGGTCAAGCAGACAGTTCTGTGAGAGGTATTCTGTGATCTGCTTGAAAGCCACCCTTTCAATGATTTTGGACAGAAAAGGGAGGAGAGAGATAGGTCGGTAGTTCTCCACATGATTTGGAGGAAGAGATGTTTTTTTTAGCAGCGGTTTAACCTGAGCATGCTTGAGAGAGGTGGGAAATCCAGATGTCAGTGAAGCGTTGATCACATGTGTGACTGCTGCGGCTACTGTAGGAGCAATAGCTTGGAGCAGCTTAGTCGGAATGGGGTCCAGTGGGCTTGTAGTAGGGTGGCTGCACGTGAGAAGCTTGGCTACACAGTTCTCAGTGAGAGGGGAAAAAGAGGAAAATGAAGCAGTAGGGTCTGAGATGGTTGGGCTTGAAGGAGATTGTGGTAGCGAATGTTCAGGAGTGGCCAGTTGAGTAAACTGTTTTCTTATCGCTGCCACTTTGTCAGTGAAGAATGAGGCAAAGGTGTCAGCTGATAGATTGTTGGTAGGAGGTGGAGATGGAGGGTTGAGCAGAGTTTTGAATGTTGAAAATAGTTTCTGAGAGTCAGTAGAGCTGAGAATTTTGTCAGTGTAGAAAGCTTTCTTTGCATCAGTGATGCTGGCAGAGAATGAGGACAGTAATTCATGAAATTTCAATTGATCACCAGGATCTCTTGTTTTGCGCTATTTCCGTTCCGCAGCTCTAAGATAGGTGCGTAGAGACCGGAGGGTATCATTTAGCCAAGGGTACAACTGAGAGGATCTAGCTGGTCTAGTGGCTAAAGGGCACATGTTGTTAAGACAAGAGCAGAGTGTGGAGCAGAGTGACTCAGTGGCTTCATTCACTTCATAAGCAGAGAATGTGCTGGGAGATGGAAGAGTGGAGGCAACAAGAGAGGAGAAGTGTCTGGGTGCCTGATTGCGGAGGTTGCGGCGGAATGAGACCACTAGGGAGGAAGCAGTGGACCTCCGTTGTAGAGTCGTGCTGAAATGGATGAAGTAATGATCGGAAAGATGCAGCGGTGTGACAGAGATTGTGTCTATGGCACAGTTTCTGGTGAAAATGAGGTCAAGTGCTTTTCCAGCTTTGTGAGTTGGATGGCTTTGTACTAGTTTTAAATCAAATGATGACATTAGTGACAGGAAGCCTGATGAGCTGGGATTGTCCAGGTGAATATTCATGTCTCCAAGGACCATTGTGGGACAGTCGTGCTCAGGAATGGAGGAGAGCAGGGTGTCGTGTTCATCAAGAAAGTTGACCTGGTTGGCGATATATGACGACCAAAAAGAATTTTTTTGATACAGTTACCTGGATGGCATGGTATTCAAAGGAGTTGTATTTAGTGATGGGTAGCAACTGACTGTATATCCATTTATTGGAAATTAACATGCCCGTTCCACCACCTCGGCCAGACGCACGAGAAGTGTGGGAGAAAGTGTGGTTAACTGGGAGGGCAGATGGGGTAGCATTGTCACATGATTTGATCCAGGTCTCAGTGAGAGCCAGTGCACCGAGTGACAGGTGGTTTGCTTATGCGGTAATGAAGTCTGCTTTGTTTACAGACAAAATTTTTGTCTTTTGTCTGTTTACTTGTTTACATGACGGTAGATGAACCACTAACTAAACAGTGCGTTTTCAAACAATACTGAAAGACACTTACACATCTGAGAAGCTGCCAGGAGGTTTGTATTTCATTATTCCCAAGAAGGAACTCATCCGCTTCACTGTTTGTTCTGGCGTTTCTTCTCGGATGTCCATGTCTTGCTAAATGACAAAAAAAAATCAATAAAATTAAAAAAATTGTATCGCTGACTGTAAAAACAACAGGATCTACAGCGACTATTTACTCACCTTTGGATCGATTTCAGCCAGAACATCGTTTAAAACCTGCTGCAGCTGTAAAGGCTCCAGGGAGTCAAAAGTGATGAGGTTGAAATTTTTCTTGAAAGGCTCCTTGTTGAGCTGTTCAACGATGAATTTCAGCTGCTCACTCATGTTGGAAGAACAGAAATGACTCCTGGTACTGAGTAATGTGGTTAGCTTGCTAATGCTAACATAAACAGACTCTGTTGACAATAAAGTTAGCCTAGCTTGCCCTCCTGTGAAAATGGCCTTTAAAATTGTTACTTTTGCAAACACCAGAGACCAAATAGAAAAGCGAGTCACGAAAACATGCCTCTAGCCGTATTTTTGTGAGTTTCTCGTATCAAACATGCAAGTTATGATGTAAAGAAACAGGTAAAGAAACGACGATCATTGTCCCTTAGAAACCGAAACGGCGTCATGGCTTGGTTGCTAACCGGAAGTAGCTTTTGTGGTGAGTTTATTAAAGTTGAATTTTCCAGCTGCCTTAAAATGAACGCGCGGATTTTTGTGAAAAATCCACGCGTGGCTAAAGTCAATTCAATTATTGCCAATAAAAATAACATTGACCTGCTGTTGTGTGCAACTATATTTAGATTTTTCCCTAATATTATATTTTTTTTCATATTTTATTTAAAAAAAGTTAAGAATATTATGTTTAACAAATATACTGACATAATTATATAACTGAGCTTAAGGGTACGTTATAGTTTAATATGTCGTTAACTTTATCTCGAGTGTGTAACAAGTGAACGCAATAATCAAGTGATAATAATCGGACTGTGTTTGAACGCAACAACAGAATGATGCGGTCACATTAGTAAACCGAAGGATGGCGCTAGGCTCACGACTCACGAGGAAGCGCAGCAAATGAACTTTGGATTATCTAGTTTTCAGGTCCTAGCTGAGAAGTGTGCTAACTCTAGCAGTCAGGCGCTGGGAGGGGAAGAGGAAAATCTGTAGTTTGTTCCTGACCAGAATAAGAAGGCTGTCGTCTCTCAGGTCAGAACGGCGTTTTTCAGCATCCACCTCACCTGGAGCGATACATTTGGAAACACTTTCCGCATCACCTTTTTTTTTTTTTTTTTTAGATTAAACTAACGATCACCTCCTTGTTGTGGAGCAAATATTCCGTTCGTTAATATAGTTTCAACATCACGTGTTTAGGTGTTATTTTGTTGTCCCTTTCAGCTCTAAACGGACATGATTTATAATTTTTACATCAGGATTTATGTTCTGGTAGGCTACACCTTTTGATGATTTGATGCGTGATTCTGAGTCGCTCGCCCCTCCTCTCTGTGTTGCGCCTGAAAGCCAAAACAGCAGAGTTGGGCTTCAGTCAGACACCAAACACAGAGACGGACAGACCTCCAGAGAATAGACGACACCGTCGAACGGATCGATGCAGAAACAAAGGAGTCCTATTTCGTGGATCTGTATAAAAAGCCGCACCGGCGCTTTTGTTGCTGTAGGATTGTGAGTAGACCCCTTTGGAAGTGGATCTCTCTCCGTGAGGTGCTGCTGCACCATGGAAGCTGCGAGTTGTGCACTAGGATTGTGTGCGTTAGATTAAACAGTGTGTGACAGGCTGCTAACGATGGTTGAACCTTTGGGGTTTGTGGACGCATGGAGAGCCCAGTTTCCTGAGTCAGATCCTCCTCAGATGGACCTGAGCTCTTTAGGGGTCATTGAACAGGAGCTGGACAAATGCAAGTCATCTATTAGGCACTTGGAGAAGGAAGTAAACAAGGAGCGCTTTCGGATGATCTACTTGCAGACTCTGCTCGCCAAAGAGAGGAAATCCTATGATGGGCAGAGATGGGGGTTTAAAAAGACACCTCAGGTAAGTGACAGGGAAAAGCCCAGTGGCTCAGAGAAACAGAGACCCTTCACAGATGAAGCCTCATCAGAGCAGCAGCAGAGGGGTCTCAGCAAGTCAGCCAGGAGCGATGGACATCAGGATGAAGAGGCAGATGGTTTGTCTCAGGTCAAACAGAAAGAGGGAGCGTCGCCTGTTCGCCAAGACCCGGAGCCTCCAGACTTCCCTGTGGGTACAGGCTCGGTGGCAGCTCTGAGATCCAACTTTGAGCGCATCAGGAGGGCCAACTCTCACACGGCAGGGGACAACAGGGGGCTTTCTGTGGTGGGCGGCCAGGAGAAACCCTGCTACGTAAACATGGAGTACCACCATGAACGGGGACTGGTCAGAGTCAACGACAGGGAGGTCTCAGACAAGATAAGCACCTTGGGCTGTCAGGCCATGCAGATGGAGAGGAAGAGGTCCCTGCTGGGGAACCTGTCAGCTGCTACGGGGGACATCAGCAAGCTGTTTCAGAGAGGCAGGTCTACCGAAGGAACCTGCAGCTATAATGGGTCACCAGATGATCCTGAGGTCAACTCACACTTCCTGAAAGACTGTATGCTCAGGTCCACTGGGGGGAAGTCTGAGAGGCAGCCAGTGGAGCATCAGCCTTACACCAGTGTGTATGTTGGAGGGATGATGGCTGATGGGGACACTCGAGTGATCCACATAAGAGACCACAGCATAGAGGAGGACCCTCACCTCACCTGGCCACGGCGCTCCTACTCTCCTGGGAGCTTTGATGATGTGGGTGGAGGCTACACACCAGACTGCAGCTCCAACGAGAACCTGACCTCCAGTGAGGAGGACTTCTCCTCAGGCCAGTCCAGCCAAGTATCCCCCAGCCCAACCACCTACCCCATTTTCAGGGAGAAAAGCCGCTCCCCTTCCCAGCAGTCCCTTGACAGTGGAAGCCCACCCACACCTCTGTCACAGAATTGTCAGAAGCAGCATGGCGTTGCCTCCATCGGGCTGCGTAAGATGGGCCAGATGTGGCCCAGTGATGGGGACTCCACCACATCCAGCAGGACCTCGCATGACAACAGTGTTCAAGGAGATCTGGGTAGGTGACACACACGCACACACACGCACGCACGCACGCACGCACACACACACACACAAACACACACACACACACACACACACACACACACACACACACACACACACACACTCACTCACTCACTCACTCACTCACTCACTCCTGAAGACCCTGCTCTTCAGAGAGCATCTTCTTGGCTGGCACCCTCCCTGCGCCCGTCCCCCCTCTCTACTGTCCACTCCTTGTTCCCTCCTCTCCATGACTGATGTCAAGTTGTTGTTGTTATTGTTGTTGTTAGCCTCAAGGGCAACATGCCGATTATCACTTGTAAGTCGCTTTGGACGAAAGCGTCTGCTAAATACATAAACATAAACGTAAACACACACACTGATGATGGACCAAAGAGCACATTAAAGACCAACTCTAACCACTAAATTAAACCCGTCTGTCCTGGCCGTGATCCAGAGTGAGTCACTGATGTGTGAAAAATACCTGCAGTCGTTTTGGCGATGTCCTAATTTTTTGACCCGATACACGAAACCTATTTTAAAACGGCCCTCTGGAGTTCGAGTTAAATCGTTTCCGATATCTTCTGACATGTTCTTTGTGTGTTTTCATCTTATTTTCAGTTGATTTAGCTGAAGGGGATGGGCTTTATTCTAATGAAAGTGGCCTACAAAAATAGGCCAGATTAGATCATTCATCTTCTAATTTCATTAATGAGAGCTTTATTTTCTCCCCTTCCAGCTCTTATCCTTATTAAGGAAGTGTTTCCTGTGAGGCGTTATCATCTCCCTTCGGGGATTTGAGGGAAATGGGAAGTGCCCTACAAACACACTGATCCCCTAGCTGTGTTTTAGCATCTCAGTGCTGCTCTGCTCTTTGTAAACAGGTTATCTTTTGCCTCCGTCTGCTCTTTGCCCACTGAGTCCTGCAGGACTTGGAGGGAGATGCTCCAGCTTAGACGGCGGACGCCCTCAGGGCGTCCCATTCGCCCAACCCATCTACCCTGGGTGTTTTTGTGTCAGCACACATCAACATTGTTGTCCTCAGTGGAGTAATTCACTTAAAAGGAGTTGTCTAGATGCATTTATGGAGGCCCCTTTGTCGAGAGAGGTAGGTTGGACAAAACCCAGACAACTAGCTCCTGAGAGAGGACAGACAGGCCTACAGTGTGTCACATGGCCTCCAATCAGAAGGCCTGCCATCAGTGTTTCCTGTTGAGATTTGTGCACACAATGGAAGAGTCACTCACTGAGGAGCAGCATCGACATGTTAACAATAAAACAATGTGACGTGGGATAAGGAGAGTGGTCTGGGTGAGCTTCCTATGGCAAGGGACAGGGACAAGAGAGGGGGTGCCTTTGGTGACGTACACAGTCTTTAAAGTGGTACTGGGATACATATGGTACTGTGGAAGTGTCAGTCTCTGAAAACATCCTCTGTGGCTGCGATTCAGCAGAAGGAGAACGGTGTACTTTTTGGTTTTACAGAAGATCCAGTCTTAAGCTTTATGACATGAAGCACATAAGCAGATTGTCTGGTACATAATGCTGTTCAGATAACGAGAACAATCACAAAGTCATTATGAAGGTGGGTATTTAGTCGCTTTCCAGAGTTTTATACTTTCAGAAATGATGTAGGGTTTTTCAGAAGTCCGTAAAAGCGATTATCTTATCATGTACTGTGATATAATGTAAGCAATACTCCTTTTTTTTCTTTTTTTTTTTTTTGCTAAGCACGCCCCCGTGCAATAGGAAACTGAGCGCCGACCAGAACTAACCAATAGCGTTAGACAACCGCTTACCTGCTGCTTCAAATTTAAGGAATACCTCGGCTGATGCAGAGTTGATGAACTTTTCACGGACAAGAACGGCTTTAAAATGTAAATATATGAAAACACAGCATGACATGAGAATAATACTTGTAAAACAGCATGTTTTAACTCTGTCGGCTACAGAAGCACATTTGTAAACAAGAAACGTGAAGTCGCCATCTTAAAAAACCAGAGCGACAGACTTTTTGTGTGATATGCTTGTCAGCCACTAGATGGTGCCATCGGCTAAGAGAAATACTCCGGAAAGAGACTTTAAATAGTAATAAAGGGTCACCTGATTGTAAAATAAAATGTTTTACAAAGAGGTCAGGGGTCCTAGAGTTAAAACCACATTTATCTTGTTGCTGTTGAATAAAGGCAGCTTGGGGTGTCGTAAGCCTGATTCATGCTTCTGCGTCTGCGTCAGTGCGGAGACACGCAACGCCATTATCCGTCCTTGCGGACCTGCTGGAGACCTCCGCAAGGACGGACGGAGTCAAGCTCTCTTTTCTAAACATCCATCCGTGGAGACGGACAATGCAAGCTTGTGATTGGTCAGGGAACTGCTGTCGTCTACACCGCCGCCATTGCGCCCTTAAAAACATAAAGAGAGCCGAGAATAACTAGCGGCAGACACGGAGCAGCTTGAAGAATACCTCGTGAAAAACTCTAAAAACATGAATGTTTAATTCCCCGTGACTGGAGGAGTGAAAAGATGCGCAGCAAGCGTTTTATTTGTGGACGGAAATGACAGGAAATGTTGGTTTAGAGGTGGCGAGCGCATGAAGAGGTGGAGGAGGATGAGAGACAAATTTGTCTGTTAAAAAGTCTCTTATATACAAAAAAACACAATATAAACACACTATCTTGGACCGATACATGACAGGATACCACAGAACAGCGCTACGCCCTCTGTTGTCCTGCCGGGGAATTGCTTTGCAACACTCCCCAGGAGACGGAGAAGTATGAGGGCAAAGTGTCTCCGTCCGTGCGTGTGTGTCTCTCCCTGTTGGAGCTGACGTAGAAGCATGAATCAGGCTTAACGGAGCACAAGAGCCTGTGCTGTCTCTGACCTGCTTTCTTATGTAAATAGGTCATGTTATAATGGCCACAGAGAAACAGTTTGTTGTGAGAAAAGCTGATTTAACACGTCATAAACAAGACACCTTACATCTGCATGTCCCAACCGGTCCCAACCCACTTCAGCCTCGGCTATGGGGAGCCTAAGTCACACCCATCTACTTCCGTACCACGGGTTCCCGGAAGAATGAAAAAATGAATTCAATGGGGCTAAAAACGCAGTTTTCTAATTCCGCTTGTTATGTGCCATGGATTTCACATATGATGTCCGTGAATTTTAAAGATGCATTTTGATACCAAGAATGCACTTATTTTCGAACAGGGGGAAACGCTATTTTAGGTTTTGTGTGAAAATGAGTCCAGAACTACAAATGTGCATCACAAAAGTGACGTCATCAAACCAGACACAGAGAAAACCGAGGGAAAATGGCTCTTTGTTCAGCAAACTTCAAATTCTTCCTTCAGGAGGAAAGAACCACCATAAATATGTCATTTGGTAAGTAGCAGCTACACTAGAGAAGAGGAGGTTATGTGGTGACGTGTCGATTTCTAGTTTGTAGTCATGCTAATTACGAACTTTTACAAGGTAATAAATCTCAAAGTACGTAACTGGCATGGTTGAAACACCGATCATTACTTTTCATTTAAATTGCAGTACAACATATGTGCGATCCAGGGCGTAAGGCAAAGCGGATTAGAAAATAGCGTTTTTAGCCCCGTTGACTTGCATTCATTTTTTTGTTCTTCTGGGGACCCATGGTACAGAAGTAGACTTTGGCTCCCTATAGAAACAATGGTCACGGTAATGCTAATGCAGAATAACACTAGCATGAGCTACTGCTAGCATGAGCTATTGCTAGTATGAGCTACTGCTAGCATGAGCTATTGCTAGCATGAGCTACTGCTGACATGAGCTACCGCTAGCATGAACTACTGCTAGCATGAACTATTACTAGCATGAGCTACCGCTAGCATGAACTATTGCTAGCATGAGCTGCTGCTAGCATGAGCTACTGCTAGCATGAGTTATTGCTGGCATGAACTGCTGCTGGCATGAACTGCTGCTAGCATGAGCTATTGCTAGCATGAGCTGCTGCTAGCATGAGCTACTGCTAGCATGAGCTGCTGCTAGCATGAACTATTGCTAGCATAAGCTACTGCTACTACTGCTAGCCTGCTGGTTACATGAGAGGAAAACAACAAAGAAGAATGTTAGAGTTTACACCTAAAGTTCCAGGATGTACTGGAAACATCCAGAATTTGAATTAAGGCCAGATATATCCATAGCTTTGCTATTCGTTTATCTGTAAACAGTTTACAGCTGTACACACAGTTCAGAAAGTCATCAAGGTAAACTGGCCAATCAGCATCCAGCTTATTTAATATTCATGTCCTGGCTGAGTGGCCGGAGAAAACCAGTCTTTCCATGGTAGGGCTTTATTATGGGGTTGTTTGGCCATTAATCATAGCTGCTGGGCCATTTTGAGCCCCAACAAGGCTTCATTTGCTATAGGGAGACAAATTCACGCCTATGTACTTCTGGACCATGGGTCCCTGGAAGAACGAAAAACAAAAAAACGAATGTCAATGGAGCTAAAACGCTATTTTCTAACTCTTCTTCGCTAAAACTCTATTTTCTAACTTCTTTTTCTTCTCCTTTTTCTTCTTTTTCTTTTTCTTCTTTTTCTTCTTCTTCTTCTAACGAGGGGAAACGTTATTTTAGGTTTTGTGTGAACATAAGTCCAAGACTACAAACACGCATCATGAAAATGACGTCATTGAACCAGACACGGAGAAAAACAGAGGAAATATGGCTGTAAGTTTAGCAAACTTAAAATCCTTTCTTCGGGAGGAAAAAAAACATGAATCTGTCCATTTTGTAAGTAGCAGCTACGCTAGAGGAGAAGAGATTCTGTGGTGACGTCATATATGTGACGTGCTGATGTCTAATTTGTTGTCATGTTAATTACGAACATTTACAAGCTGGTAAATTTGAAAGTGCATGACAAGCATGGTCGAAACACCCATCATTGGTTTTCACCTCTTTAAATACACATCAGGAGGATTCTTAGTTCTTGTGATAAGGGCTGAGATAAACGGATCACACTCACTTGGATACCTTTTA